AAAAAAAAAAAAAGAGAGAGAGAAAGAAACCCACAAAAAAAGAAAAAGAAAAAAACCCCACCTTTTCAACCAAGAGTCTTTTGTTACTCTATACTTTGGAATTTAGCAGAGTAGAAATTAAGTTTTGATTGGTCTATAGATAATACTTCTGCTGCTTTAGAAACATAAGCCCCATTAGTAGAGATAGGATGATACATTTCTCTTAAACCCCAAAGCAGCAGCAGAAGGGGGAAAAAAAGTCCTTTAAAATAAACCTACAGCTGCTTTCCATAACTTTCAGATTTAATACTTGCACAAAACGAGCCCATTGGCACCTTTCTARAATACATGACTCAAATAACTCTTCTTTTTTGCTGAATGAATTTATGACCAAAAAGACAGTAATGTTTACCAGATTACATATTTAATTGGAGCCAGTTGTCCTAATAAAAAGCAATTAAGTAATCCAAGCTGTTTTTCAGACAAGGACAAAAAGCAGGTGCACCAGTCATGGAAAGCAAATGTTTCTTTAGGTAAAGCTGACAGGTAGCTGAATTTTTAGGGCATTCTTTCCTGAAGTTCCYCATTAAAGAGGGATTAATTAGAGCTCTGTGGATAACGTGGGAAGGATAAGAACTTTATGCGACTTTTCCTTTACACTCTAGTTAGGTTCAGTCAGCCTCTAGAAAACAGTGAAAATGGTGGGTATTCCACGAAAATGTAATGCTATGATAGTTGGCTCAACTAATTCTTCATCCTTACAAAGCAAACTCTTCTCTCAGTTTTCGACGATACTGCTTCTTTGGTTTCATTGTGTTGAAATAAGCTAATTTTATAACGTCAGGCCACACTGCTGGACAGGGACTCCCACAAATCCGGCTGTACCAAAAAGAGGGGGAAAAAAAGGTATGAGATCCAAAAACACAAGCGAGCACAGCTGCCATTTTAATACTAACAGGTACAATGACTACAAACATAAACAGCAATTTTAATGTTCARTGTCATTTAGCTACTATTTCTCTACAATTCCTTAAATAATCATGAACTGTGTAGGAAAGACCACAATCCTCCACAGACCAAGCTTACTTTTAGAAGTCCATTGTGTTTCTTACTCTTACCACCCTGCCCTGAAGAAGACTTCTGCCATAATAATAATAATAATAATAATAATAATAATAAAAAAAGACTATTTGTAAAATCCCAAAACTTAACCAACTAGATATGGACAGTATGAATGTTTTACTCAGAGAATGAGATATACCAGGTTTAAAGTTCTGATGTATATTAATGCTGTTAGCTCCCATGTTTACGGGAGACAGATGGCAAATGCCTGGAGAGCACTTTTCACTGACAAGCTTAAGAGGGAAGAGAATGTAGGTGCCATAAAAGTAGTCCTGGGCAAGAGGGGTGTGGAATCTCCACGCTTTTATTTCAGTCCTACGTTTTATGCCCCAGGGCATGCCCGCAGCTGGAGCTGCCTTAACCTCAGTCCTTTCACCTCAGACCCAGCTCTTCTGCCCAGCCCAGGGTGGTCAGAATGAGTTGATCAACAGCAAACTGGGGCTGGCGTTCATCACACTGCGCAAGGTTTAAAACTCCATGCTTTAGCCACTCATAAAGGCTGCAGCTTGCAAATACAGTCCCCCAGATCACCCTCTCCATTCATTTAAAAGGTTAGTGCAAAACACTTAACGATAGATTTATAATAATAAAAAGCTAAAAATAAAGTTAGATTTTTCTATCAGGAAACTCTGAACTTTAAAGTTAGGACAGGAGAAATGCAAAATTGTTGACTGTAACATGACAGCAGTAGAGATCGTGATAAAAGACAATTGATATACTATCAATATACTAGTATAGTATAGTATACTAGTATACAATATACTATCACAATACAATAGTATACAATATACTATCAAATGGAAGGGACTGCAGTCCCTTCCCGCAGGGGAAGGAAACCTCAAATTTTAGTTTGCTGGCTTGCAACGCACCCACAGAAGACCCCAAATGCCAACATTTCCCTGCCATCTAGTGGTAAAAAGCAGAAAAGTGCCAACGCGGAACACTAGCTTTCTTCTCTTAAGAGATGAATGACCACTAAAATGCTTTGCATCTGCTAAAAACCTTTGGTTTTCAAGACCAGCTAAAAATATATTTCATATGCATATATAGCTGCTTAATCTGTGTTAAAAAATGTCTCAGCATTTAACTTCCTTTAAAAAATAAAAAGAATAAATAAGGTCAGTAATTTTGACCATTTATTCTTCAGAATTCTCCACGTACTATTATGGGTCTCGCCCTCTTTCCCCCTTGCTTCTAGAGAGAGGGCCTCTCCCCACTGCAAAGTCAATTCGGATATTTGAGCCAATAGCAAATTTTTTTATTTGCTGAATAAAGAAAAAAAAAAAAAGCTCTGTTTCCACTGAGTAATGTCAGTATTATGCAAGGATTTATCAGGCTGAGGAAGGCAAGTTTAACTCCATAAAGTGCCTGGCAGTTTATAAGGGAAGAAAAATATTCCCACCACAAACAAAGCCTAGGTAGGTAACTGTGGAAGAGCGAAGGAAGAGCTCAAGGCCAGCAACATGCACTGAACCTGCTCCTCCCAAACAACTTCTCATCTTTATTATCCTCCATGTTCTCCCTTTGATTTGCTGCAAGGAAGAAGCTATTGGGAAAGAACGGGCCTCTGATTTACAATCCCAGTAAAAGGCAGCTCCAGCCACGCTATGAAAACCTGGCTGTTCCACATGATGGCCACTGAATACTTACATGAAATCGCCTCCATGTCTCATTGTAAGTCACTTTACATGTCCCTGAAAAATCACTCTCCTCCTCACCTTGTGTAATAAATATTTAACTGACCGTTCCTAAATGTTACCAGTGTGTTCTCTCCAATTCAAAAATCTACAAAACTTACAAAAGACAGTTTGAGGCACCTACCAGTTGGTAGTGCCTGCAAGTTACCTTATAAGTTCCAGCTGAGCAAGTTCTTGATTTGCTTGAAATATTGGCTTTTTTGTAAAAAGTTCACCCAGGATGCAGCTGTAAAACAGTTTTGCACAGTTCCATCATTTGGGCTTCAACACATTGACAAGAACATCTACCATTTCTCTTGGCTTGCTGTTACGCTCGCTACCCTTCCGTATCACATTCTTACCCACAGCTCCAGACATCGATAGCTGGCGTGTATCTTTCTTCTCCAAGCAGAAGCTCAGGAGGCCGATACCATAATGTAATAACTTTGTTGGTATATGGTCGGCTGTTGGGGGGAGGAAAAACAAAAAAAAAGAGGACTATCATTTTACTATGATCTCACTGGTGAAAGGTATTTTGAGGAGTTTACTTCTGTGTTGCTGTTTAAGAACATTACAGTCTTCCAGTCCCCTTTTCCTAACTTGAGTGCTGCAATTGTACAAAAACAAACCATGTCTGCCCAGGATGGTTTAAAAGGCAGCCTGAAACAGACCCCAAAGGCATAAACAAAACACAGAGCCTCTTAATGCTCGGTCAATCCTGTATGTTGATTATTATTTAATTAACAATACTATTTATTTGTTACACTGATAATCAGTTCTACAGAAGGGCACAACTGGATAAAATCAGTAACTTCTGGGCAGCTATGGGTTATTAGAATAATGAACACAGGCTCTCTACAGCATATAAAAAGGAGAAAAAAGAGTCGCTCTCCTCTTGTAAATAGACGCAAAAGAGATTGAGCCCGTCTCTTGCACAATATTCAACAATTTTGATTTCCAAGATGTAACACCTCCAATATCTTCCTATATTTCAACATCTTTAAATCCCTAGTGGGAAGTTGTGGCCATTGTGAATAATCTTTCCACCCCAACACTGAGGCAGAGATTCCCCTATCTCGGGCAAAGCTCTCATGGAGAGGCCAGGAAACACCGGGAACTGTTCCGGGTGGGAGCCTTAAAACAGACACTAGTTTATCTCTTCTTTCCAAACAGGATGTCTTAAAAGTGATCCAAAAGCTCGGTCTGTTTTAATAATTCACCCTTATCAGTACAAAGTAAGCCCAAATAGAAAGCAAGGGAACTTGACAAGAGGCATTTGAATAAGCCCAGTATAAAAGCCTAATGAGCTCCCGCAATGTGCTCAGTGTTATCGCTTCCAGAAAAGCACCCAAGTCTTTTCTTCTGGAAGAAACTCCCTGATTCACTTTTGAAAATGCAGTAATTTATCATATTCCCCTCTGAACTAGGCATTCCTCCACAAAGGGTTTGCATGGYATGGGCTTGCTTTATAGGGACATCAATTGTATATACACTACTTTGAAGGGTGTTTTGTGAGAACAGACGCTTTCTTACACAATCTGTCATATCCCTTATTTCAAAYACATTGAATCCACGGAATAATATTTAAAGGAGCACAACTATAACCAACTGGAAGTTACTTTTAATTAAAACTTTATTATGCTTGGACTAAATTCTGTATCCTTTTGATCAACATATAGTTCTAAACAGTCAAACGAATTCAAAAATATATAAACAGCAGCTATTACACAGTTGTTGGTGTATGCTAAATTGCAGCTGTTCCTGCAGGTCAGAGGCAAAAGGATTGTCAAAATCTACTGATTAAATCTTAATTTTCATCCCGAGCTTAACAGGAACTTCTGTTAGCTTAAGTATATTTTAATTTTTGCTTCACTGATGGATAAATGGGGGGTCATAATATTGCTGGTTTTAGATACAGGAGAAGGAGCCTCTGTCATTCATACTCTAAAGACACTGAACTTGAAATCCTGCAGCTTTGAATGAATGCTTCCTTTTACAATCAAAATTGAAATAAAGAAATTGAAATAAATATGGAAAGAAAGAAAGAAAGAAAGAAAGAAAGAAAGAAAGAAAGAAAGAAAGAAAGAAAGAAAGAAAGAAAGAAAGAAAGAAAGAAAGAAAGAAAGAA